GGGCAGAGATCTTGGACATTGGAGGCTTCCCTCCAAACCTCGATGAGGTCCACGATCTCCGCACTAGACCACGCGGGCGCCTGCCTCTTGCGGCCCCGGGCAGGGTCCTGGGAGCCGCCAGGCTGGTCCCGGGAAGAGGGGGAGGGCTGGGTGTCCTCGGGTGGCTGGCTCATGGGTGTCAGGTGCAGGGTGTGCTGGCACGGGTGCTGGCAGCCTTGCAACTGGCACAAACTGTGTAGCCAGCCCGTGGCCCTTTAAGGGCTCCGGGGCCGGGAGGGGGGCAGACAATTTTGCCTGGTGTTGGCCAGAGTGGCCACCAGGGCAAGCTGGGAAGGGCTAGCCTCCCACTAGTTTGAATTAAGGGTCTACACAGCCCTTAATTCGAACTAGCTAGTTCGAACTAGGCTTAATCCTCGTAAAATGAGGTTTTCCTAGTTCGAACTAAGCGCTCCATTAGTTCGAATTAAGTTTGTAGTGTAGACATACCCTGAAGTCTTTGGGGACCATATGGGGACCATAAACAGCTCTGAGAAGTATCACTCTCTTTGTTGGGTTATATATACTGGTGCAGGCGGTGTTTCAAGAGACACAGGAGACAAAGAAAGAACTTGGGCTAGACTTGAGAACAGCACAGGGGAGCTGGTTTGATTCAGTAAATGGGCATGACCTTTAATCCAAGGCCAAACCCTCCAGAAGAGTTGGGAGGTCTTGAACGTTCTTGGGTCCCGATAGGACTGATGGGCAACCTCTGGTCCTACTTTTGCATTTAGACCATTTGCTATGTTTTCTATGTAAACTTTTGTTCTTAAATAAATGTGCTCTGCTTTGGAAGAACTGTGTGATTATTTGCAACCTCTGGCATTTCTTGGTCATAGCTGTTAAGGACTCTAAACAGCTCTGAGAAGTATCACTCTCTTTGTTGGGTTATATATACTGGTGCAGGCGGTGTTTCAAGAGACACAGGAGACAAAGAAAGAACTTGGGCTAGACTTGAGAACAGCACAGGGGAGCTGGTTTGATTCAGTAAATGGGCATGACCTTTAATCCAAGGCCAAACCCTCCAGAAGAGTTGGGAGGTCTTGAACGTTCTTGGGTCCCGATAGGACTGATGGGCAACCTCTGGTCCTACTTTTGCATTTAGACCATTTGCTATGTTTTCTATGTAAACTTTTGTTCTTAAATAAATGTGCTCTGCTTTGGAAGAACTGTGTGATTATTTGCAACCTCTGGCATTTCTTGGTCATAGATGTTAAGGACTCTGATCTGGAGACAGAAAGACCAGGAGTACCATCCAGAGACAGGTGATAGCTAGAGTCCTGAGATGGCATTCCCTGATCCTTTGACCTTAGGGGTTTAAAGATGCAGTTATCCTAAATCTGTGACAGTATTATTTCTTGATTTGAGGATTATTTTAATCATGATTTTTGTAAAATAAATTTAAAGGTGGCTGTGTGGGTTCTTCTGGCCTGAAACTTCCATTGAACATAGTCTCATGAGCACGTGCCTGGATTTCACTTTCTGTGAATGTCCTTGTGAGCAAAGTTGCTTTTATCAATATTAGCAGAATGCAAATCAAATAGTAATGAATACCACTGAAACTTATTTATTGTTTCTATTTATCCAGCTCTATCTACTCTCTTTGCAACAAAAGAACAATGTATTTAATTTAACGTTAGTTACAGAATTCTACTTTTATCCATTCAAATTACTGATCCATTATTAATATCTATGCCAATTGTAAGCAGAGCATACAGATTTGGTAAGTATATTTTTTTCTGAAAAGTGTTCATATTTAAAACCCCTTTACAGTAACTTACTGAGACAGTATTTTCTTTTTGTTAGGTATTGCTAAAAGGCTTTGAAGGTTTGAGAATGTCACAGTGGTGGTCTTTTTATTGTTTACAAAATCCAATAACAATAACAAAATAATGAGTTATCTAGCCTCTAATTAGAACTCGAGCGTTGAATACAGAATGACACTGCTATGACTGAAAGTGTAGATGAATGTTGTCTGCAACTAAACAAACAAACAGGTGAGGGGAGGATTTCTTTGTGCATTTTAAGGCCAAATTACATGATTTGTAAGATTTTCCTAATAGTTCATGAGCTATTTGATAGGGATGATACCTCCTTTAGAATTTGCTTCAATTTTTGGTTCATGGGGGAAACTTCCTGAAGAATATAGACACAGAAAGATGTGTCTCACTACTATAAATGGACCATTGATTTCTCTTCTCCAAAGAGTCACATAGTTTGCATCACAGGAGGGAAACGTTTAGCTCAGAATCCCCTGGACCTGGGAAACTCCGGCCAATCTCTTGAAACATTGTCCCCCAGAATCAGAAGAGACAGGGTGCTGTGTTTGTGGGAAAATTTCTCAGTCAGAAAGTAATCATGTCCAACTACTCACCAGTGAAATTTCATAGAACGGATATCAGAGCTGAGTGCAGATTTCAGCTAAATAATATTTCCTCTGAATATGATGACACCACTTATAACCCTCAGGGTTGCTTAAGCATTGCCTTGTCAAATACTACTTTGTCAAATACTACTCAGGGTTGCTTAAGCATTGCCTTGTCAAATACTACTTTGATCTTCCAGCGGTCAAAATGAGTCAGTGAAACAAAGAGAGTGGCAGCAGTCTTTTTCCACACATGAACTGTTTGGAGATATTGATCAGAATGGGTCACCATAGACATCTCTTACTAGTGCCATGCCCTTTAATTGTTTGCTTCACAGTCACGTTAAACTACTGATGCACAGTGTTCACTTCTGTGGTCAAAAATAAAGACATTTGGGCTGCTGATACCAATGGGAGTGTTTAGTTTTGTTAGTCTATAAAGTGCTACCAGACCATTTGTTGTTTTTAAAGTTTATCCTGTACAGACTAACTCGGCTACCCCCTGAAGCTTCTTAACTAGTTCTTGTCTGTCAACTTCTTAGTTCTGAAAGGTAGCTATAACCGGTTAAAGGCTAAAGAACCTTAGCAATAGATTTGAACACAATCCTTGAAAGAAGAGAGAGTTATAGTAAGAAGGGAAAAAAGAAGGGCAGATAGGAATCTGGACTGGAATTCAAGAGACCTGAACTGTGACTGCACTGCTGTGTATGATCTTGGGAAGTCCTTGCACCACTTGTTCCATTCCCATTCTTTGTCCTGCTTTTTAGTCAGGCACAATGAGACCTGACCTTGCTTGAGGCCTGTAGGTATTACTATAACATAAATATGTCACAATAGGGGGGGAAACAACTTGTATGGAATATTACTAGAAATAGGCTTGCTAACAATGAACCTGCATTACTTCAGCAGATTAAACATCTATCTTTTTCAGTAAACAGTGTATCTATAAATAGAAAAGTTTTCTTTGAGAATCCAAAAGGAAAAAGGAAAAAAGATCTCTAGGGTTGCTTCATTAGAAGACATTATTAATCAAAGAAAATCACCTTGCCAGTTAATCAGAATTATCTATAAAAAATATAGAGTTTTCTTCAATTTAAAACGTATGTCATCTACTTAAACTGGTACCAAAACTGTAAAACAGACAAAAAGCATTTCCAGACTAAAAAACTTGATGGAATAGAAGTACTAAATACAATGTTAAAAGTTCTTTCTGAGATTCTTCACAGATACCACAACTACAAAACAAATATGTATCTACTGGTGCCAATAAATATTCATTAACTTATGAACAAGTATATTTTTCAGAAAAGTATTGACGTTTTTCCCTACTCTGTCTCTTGGGAAAGCTGCCTTAAATCTAATCTATTACAAAGATTTAAAAAGCAAATCCTACTTTTCTCCCTAGAATCTATTCCCTCCTCTCCCCCTCGATTACAAAATTCACCTGTCACAACTCTTACATCTTCTTACTATCACAACCAAAGGTCATGTAAATTAATATAGCGTCTATTCATGAAAGTCCCCCCTTCCAAAAAAAGAAGGAAAGAAACAGCAAGAAAAGACTTGGCCCCCATTGCCTTAAGGGAAAAGGTGTGCCTTACCACATGCTCTTATACATCATCCCTTACTGAAATGTTTCTAATGTTGGCAGGTTGGTCCAAAGTGGATGAAGCATTTTGCTAGATAAAACAAATCTACTATTATTGTTCCTGTGTGATCAGGTAGACAAAATAGTGTTTGTTCCCTAATATTTACATCTGGGACATAGGTTACTGGTGCCTGCCAGGGAGGGGATGCAGGGAGGGCCATCCAGAGGAACTGGAAGAGGGGGTGTGATGAGGCAGCACCCCATTTAGAAATTAAAATGTTGGAAGAGGCACAGGGAGGTTGTTACATCTCTCCACTTCTACCATGAGTCACCTATGGTTTGGGATCTGATGGATTTCTTCAGCTGTCTTTTTAATACCCAGATGGTACCTGGTGACTTGAAACAGGAAAGAGCTGCAGTCAGTGCACCAGCTAAGGGGGAAGGAAGCTCCTGGAAACATGGAGTGAAAAAGTCTTACTCTGCTTTTAGCAGAGGGGGGATTTCATTGAATGAAGCCTCATCATACCTTGTCTATTTACTATTCCTCCCACAGAGCCTGTTAGGGTAAATTCCACTAGGACACCATTCCTGTCTCACTACTGACATGCTATTGCTGGTGTCAGATCTCTGCCCATAAACAT